GCAGCTGTTTTAATTGGAGGACAGGTTGCGACAGTTGGTAGTGTTTGATCAACTAGTCATTCTGAGGAAGAAACCAATCACTCTGTAACATAAACACTTCTCGCGGGAGTTACAGCTCCGTAACAAGCGCTGCTAACATGCTCTCAACTGCCTTGATCAAAGGCTTGTGTGTGTGTGTGTGTGTGTGTGTGTGTGTGTTGTGTGTGTGTGTGTGTGTGTGTGTGTGTGTGTGTGTGTGTGTGTGTGTGTGTGCTATTCACAGACCATAAACAAGCTGGCAAATAGCGTCACTCGTCGTTAAAGACGCGCTGCTATCACTTTATACTGGGTCTTCCCAACTCTGTGCAATCAATCACGGGGAGAGGGAAAGGCGCAAAGACCAGCGTCACTGAGTTACACAGCCCGGTCTTCAAGACCACACACTGGTGAACCAGCGTCACTGAGATGCACAGACCTGGTCTTCAAGACCACACACTGGTGAACCAGCGTCACTGAGATGCACAGACCTGGTCTTCAAGACCACACACTGGTGGACCAGAATCACTGAGATACACAGACCTGGTCTTCAAGACCACACAGTAAGGGAGGTCAGGTGGTAGAGTGGTCAGTGGTGATGGGTTTTACTTATGCATAAGTTTCCTCTGTTTTGTACTATGGTTTCGGTAAGGTGGATAGTGACTGCTTGGAAACACTTTTATTATGCCTAGCCGCTCAACAAATCCCCACAACATTTTTCCATGAGACGTAGGCGAGAAAGGTACATCATAATTTACACCTGGAAAATCATGGAGGGATTGGTCTCAAACCTGCACACCGAATTCACTCACAGAGAACTCGATCAGTATCAGAGGTCCCCGACTTTTCAACGCCCTCTTTTCGGGGATAAGGGGAATTACCAATAAACCTCTAGCTGTCTTTAAGAGAGAGCTGGACAAAGTTTCACTCAATTCCCGACCAGCCAAGCTGTCGTTCATATACTGGACTGCCTATGGCCAGTAGTAAAAGCCTATTTGATTACGCCTTCATCCACCAGGAGGCCTAGGCTAGATAAGAATCAAGGGGGCGCTGACTCCTTTAAGTATGAGGTGAGAATTCACGTAAAGCTGCAGCCTAACCAGCGTTGTTGGCGTCATTCATCCTACACTCATACTTGTGTTCGTTGTGTCACAGCTAAAAATCACGGTCTCTCACCAACATCAGTTGTTTTCCCAGCGTGGACTGCTGTAAACTCCTGCTGTGCCCACGTCTTTGCTGCGGTTCTGGTGTAGTCTTGAGTGTAGAACCGTCACTCTGTGGTAGCTGGTTCTCCCTTCAGGATTTAGTTAAGTCATGATCGTCCCTCTTCACCGTAAAGCCAGGGAGAATATAACACTTCTCACTACATAAATCGTTAGGAAATTCACTATACTGACGGTCAAGCATAACACTATAAGGTCCCTACCAATCCTCTCCCTAAATCCGGAGCCACGAACACTGCATAAAACAACTGTTCTTCTTTTAGCCTTTCCTGGCGCATGCTATTTTGCTAGTACAGACACATATAGCAAAGTAGGTGTTTATCTGTGGAACGTTTCGCTTACAGGTAAACGTTTGGAAGCCAGAGACACTCAGCTGGGCTTACAGGTCACGGGAGACACAGTCCTCAGGTCACATAGCGCCTGAAACACGTCAAGACACATCTGTCTTCGTTCATTTTTTTTACCTTCGCTTACCTGTGAAAGTTTGAAGTTACCAGCGTCTGCCACTCTGACGTTTTGCCTCCACACATCTGACTGACTGACTGCTACAGTTCACTTAGTTTGTTCTCGGTGTCAGCGGTGTCAGCGGTGTCAGAAGTTGCTGTCAGCTCTCCACTCTTCATTGCTTTCGTTGCTCTTCGCCTGACATTATTTTTTATCCTCTTCCTTGTTTTGTGTTTCGCTTTGCTTTTCATCTTCATCATGTTCATTTGTTCTGTCTTTTCTCATCATTTCTTTTCTCATTTTTTCATTTTTTTTTTCTCATTATTTCATCATTTTTTCATCATCATCATCATCACATCTTAGGTCTACCATTCTCAAAAAAATAAAAATAATTCCTCAGCTAAAAATATTAAAGTTACATTTCCAGTTACATTAATTACATAGATTAATTCGTTAATTAGGGTACAAAAAATAGGCATTTTAAATTAACGTGATTTACCCTCGTAGAATTATTGTCTTGTTTTTCGTATCCGGTCCTGTTTTTGGCACTGTGTCCTGTTTTTGGGAGTGTCCGTTTTTTTCCTGTGTCCTGTTTTGCATGTGTCCCGTTTTTTGGGAGTGTCCCGTTTTTTGGGATGGGTCCGTTTTTGGACTGTGTCCTGTTTTTTGGCAGTGTTCTTTTTTTGCAGGGGTTTCTGTGTCCTGTTTTGGCACGTGCCGTTTTTGGGACTGTGTCCGTTTCTTGGCACTGTGTCCTGTTTTGGCCCTTGTCCCTTTTTTGGGACTTTTTGTTTTCCTTTTTTTTTCTGGGCACGTGTCCCGTTTCCCGGTGGCACTGTGTTCCCCCCCTTTTGGCACTGGTCCCGTTTTTTTGCACTGTGTCCGTTTTTGGCACTGTGTCCTTTTCTGGCATGTGTCTGTTTCTGGTGGCATTTTGTCCGTTTTGCCCCCATTTCCTTTTTGGGGGCAGTTCCTGTTTCGCCCTATGTCTATTTTCGGGGGGCACTGGTCCTGTTTTGGACTGTGTCCCTTTTTGGCATGTGTCCCGTTTGGGGGCATGTGTCCTGTTTTTGGGACTGTGTCCTGTTTTTTTGGGATGTGTCCTTTTCTTTTTCACTGTGTCCCCGTTTTGGGGGGCAGTGTCCTGTTTTTCTCCTATGTCCTATTTCTGGTGGCACTGTGTCCTGTTTTTTGGGCCCCTTTCCCTATTTTTGGGCATGTGTTGTTTTGGGCTGTGTCCTGTTTTGGCATGTGTCCTTTTTTGGCACGTGTCCGTTTTGGGACTGGTTCGTTTTTGGCACTGTGTTCTGTTTCTGGCACTGTGTTGTTTCTGGTGGCACTGTGCCTGTTTTGCCCCATTCCCCATTTCTGGTGGCACTGTGTCCTGTTTCTGGCCCTTTTTCATTTTGGGGCCTGTGTCCCCGTTTTTTTGGACTGTGTCCCTTTTTTTGGCATGTGTCCTTTCTGGCACTGTGTCCTGTTTTGGGACTGTGTCTGTTTTTTTTGGGTTTTGTCCCTTTTTTTGGCACTTGTCCTTTTTTGGGGGCACTGTGTCCTATTTTTGGTATGTTTTTATTTCTGGCCGTGTCCTTTTTCTGGCCTGGTTCCATTTCGTCCGGTCTTTTTTGGACTTGTCTTTTTTCTTAAAATTGACTTTTTCTGAATGGTCCTTTTTTGAAATGGTCTTTTTTGGGTTAGTCCTTTTCTAAATTGCTTTTTCTGTATTGGCTTTTTTTGGTACTGGGTTTTTTCTGGGCCTGTTTATTTAAAACGGCTTTTTTTTGAAATTGGTCTTTTTTCTAAATTTTGGGTTTTTTTCTGACTGGTCTTTTTTCTAAACGGTTTATTTCTTTTCGCATTTTTTTTCCCTTTTTTTCTGGACTTGGGCTTTTTTTGGACGGTCCTTTTTTTCTGGTACTCGTCTTTTTTTGGTTTTTCATGTTTTTTTAATTTCGTTTATTTTGATATTTGTCTTATTTCTTATTTGTTTTTTCGTACTCGTTTATTTCTTATTTTGGGCTTTTTTAAAATTTGTCTTATTTTGATATTCGGGCTTATTTCTGGATCGGGCTTATTTTGGTATTCGGTTTTTTTCTGGGACTCGTCCCTTTTTTCTGGGCTATGTCTTTTTTCTAAATTCGGTTTATTTTGATATTCGGTCTTTTTCTTATTTGGTCTTATTTTTTGATATCGGTTTATTTCTAATATTCGGTCTTATTTTGGCTCGGTTTATTTCAAAAAATTTGTCTTTTTTCTGGTTTTCTTTTTGGTTTTATTTCGGTACTCGGTCTTATTTCTGGTATCGTCTTATTTATTTGGGGCTTATTTCATATTCGGGCTTTTTAATTTTTCGGTCTTATTTTTAAAACGGTCTTATTTTGAACTCGGGCTTATTTTGGTACCATGTTTATTTCTGAATTCGGTCTTATTTTGGGATCGGTCTTATTTTTTGTGCCATGTTTTTTTTTAATATTTCGGTCTTTTTGATTTCGGTCTTATTTCGGGACTCTGTCTTTTTTCTGAAAAATTTTGGGGTTTTTTTTACCGGTTTTTTTGTGTGGTCTTATTTCGGGACGGCATTTTGGACCTGTTTATTCTGAATTGGCTTTTTTTGGAGCTTTTTTTGGTAGCTTATTTTAAAAAATTTGTTTACTTTTTGACTTGTATTTTTTTTAATTCGTTTTTTTACAGGAAAAAAATATTGGTTTTTTTTTTTTTATTTGGTCTTGTTTTTTTTTTTGGTTTATTTTGTTTTTAATTCTGGTATATGCACTAAAGGGGCTATTTTAAACCGTTTATTTTGCCTGTCTTTTTTTTAATTTTGGCCCATGGTTTTTTTTGGGGCCCACAAAAGGGTTTTATTTTGAATTTGGTCCTTTTTTTGTCCAGCTTAAAATTTTTTTGGTTTTTTTTGAACCCCTTTTTACTTCAGCATTTTTAAATTTTGGCTTACTGAACCGGGCACGAAGCACGCCACATAAAAGAACGTTTTAATTGGGGAAATTTTTTAGGCCACAAGTTTAACTTTAACCCACCATTTTAACCAAAGCCAAAAAGAACAAAAAGGGCCAAAAAACTTTGGGGCCAATTTTTTTTTTAAAAAAGGGTTTTTTTAGGAAGAAAAATTTCCCCGGTTTTTTTTTTGGGCTTCTTTTTTTTTTTTTTTTCTGGAAAAACCGGGGTTGTAAAAATCGTTTTCCCCTTTTTCTGCGCGCTCCTGTTTTCCCCAAAGGGCTTCAAATTTTTGTTGAGTCGTGTCACTGCTGAATCCAAGCTGAGAGAAAAATAATGAGTGACCTTTGACCCCTTCACTTGCAGGGCAATCCACAGCGGGAGGGGGTGGAGCCATGTGAGCTGCCACGCCCACCTGTACACCCTGACCACGCCCATACGCCCACATGACGCCCACGTCACCCCATCCTGGCACCTCCCAAGGGCCACCAAGGCCTAACCTACCCACCATCACCCCACAAGCCACAAGCATACCCCTCAGCCCCGTCACCACCCACACCTGGGCACGCCATGGGGGGCGCTGGTGACGCCGGGGGGTATGCAGGAAGCAGGAGGGGGAGGAAATACCCCCTGCTGCTTGGCTGCCTGCTGCTTCTGCTGGCGACGACCGCTGTGTCGCCGTCCACCGCCTGCCCCTCCGTCTGCTCCTGCGCGGCTCCTGCTGCCTCCGCCAGGTCCCTATCAAGGCTAGGTCCCTGGGAGACGTTCAGGGATGCCCCCGCCCAGGAGAACACCGATCTGGTGTCCCTGGATTGTCAAGGGGCGGGTCTCTCTGCTCCCCCTGACCTGGGAACCCTTAGGGGTCTCCAGCCTGCCTCGGTCATCGAAATGTGAGTATATCTGTCCCTAACTTTGTTTAACATACAGCCTGAGGTGTATTAGTCGCTTCAGCTGACTTCAAAGCCAGTGTATACACATCCCCATGTATACACATCCCCATGTATACACATCCCTATGTAAACACATCCCCATGTATACACATCCCCATGTAAACACATCCCCATACATACACATCCCCATGTTTACACATCCCCATGTAAAAACATCCCCATGTATACACATCCCAGTAACACATTAAAACACATCCCCATGTTACACATCCCCATGTAAAACATCCCCATGTATACACATCCCCATGTATACACATCCCCATGTATACAATCCATTAACACTCCCATGTAACACATCCCCATGTATACACATCCTCCATGTATATACATCCCCATGTATACACATTCCTCAGTATACACATCCCATGTCAAAAACATCCCATTATACACATCCCCATGTATACACCATCCACATGTATACACATCCCAGTATACACTCCCATTAATCATCCATTGTATACAACTCATGATAACATCCATGCATACACATTCCTCAAGTTTAACATCCATTATACAGCCCTGCATATCATCTCATTATACACATTCCATGTATCACATCATGTCAAAAACACATAATATATTCATGATTAAATCCACACTGAATTCACCTACCGTACATAAGCACTACACATAATCATACATTGTAGAGAACAAACTGCAAAGTGTAGTTTGATATTTGGAATATGATAAATGTTTGCTGTCAAGAATTACATGAATATATTTCATTGTTATCCTTATCGGATTAATCTACACCTAACCACACCACACATACTTGCTGTGTGTGTGTGTGTGTGTGTGTGTGTGTGTGTTTTTTATGTAAAGTTTTCTCAGTTAATTTCCATCAAACTAATTGACTTGGAATTATGTCCAGGTTAATCAGCTCTGATACTGATGGGCAAAATAATATATATAATATATATATATATATATATATATATATTATATATATAATATATATATATATATATATATATATATGTATATATATTATATATATATATATATATATATATATATGATCGTACATGTCAGATTCAGAAGCAGATGTTTAAACATCAGCAGCAGGTGTTCTATGAAACTCTAAATACCAGGAATATGTGTTGATTGTAATTTGAAACACCAGTAAGAAAACTACTTTCATTAGGACTAAACAGGATCACATTTCGTTTGTAAGTTGCAACATAATTCGAACATCTTGTTCGTATGTTGCAACACCAGGAACACAACATGTTCGCAAGCTCAACCACCAGAATGGAACTTCTTTGTAATCTGAAGCACCTGCTGAACCATCTTATTGAATAAAAGGAATATGGAAAAAAACGGATATAATAATATCAGATAACCAATCATTTAGAGAGTACAATATCGCAAATATTGAGAATGCCAGAAAAAATGAAAGTGGATAATAAGAACTTTCAAAACAAGATAAGTAATAGCATTTGTGACATTATTCAACTAAATTTTGCTCTCTCGTCTAGAATATTGTTCTGTGTTGACGACTCCGTAGGGGAGATATCAGAGCTGGAAAAGATACAACGATAGTTTACTTCCCGAATAGTCAATAAAGTATTTAAACGACTGGGAATGTATTCTCTGAAGTGAAGAAGAGAGAGATACTCTATAATATATGCATGAAAGATATTCGGAAGCCTAATCTCAAAACTACGTTGCCATAACATACTGGAGTGAGCGATATGGGAGGAAGTGTCAAGGTGAGAAGCATGTGTTCCACAGTTGCAATAAGAGAACACTATGTCAACATCCGTGGTCCAAGACTTTTCAACCTGCTACCAACAGACATCAGAAACACTACTGGAGCTAATGTTCAAGTTTTCAGTGGGAAACACGACTACCACTACTACTACTACTACTACTACTACTACTACTACTACTGCTGCTGCTGCTGCTGCTGCTCCTGCTACTACTACTGCTGCTGCTGCTGCTGCTGCTGCTGCTATTGCTACTGCTGCTACTACTATTACTACTACTACTACTACTGCTGCTACTACTACTACTACTATCACAAAAATAACCCACACATAGGAGAGAGGAACTTACGACGACGTTTCGGTCCCACTTAGACCATTTGCAAAATAGCGGTAGTGGTAAGTAGGTAGTGGAAGTAGTAGTAGAAGAAATAGTGGTAGTAAAATGTAGTGAGAGCAACTGAGTGGCCGGATCAACCAAGCTATGATGGCTATAATAATATCTTTATTTCTACAAGTACATGTACAAGGCACACAGGCCTAGCTGACATCAATGATACACTACTATATAGAAAGCCGCTTGTTTGCAGAATATTTCGGGCAAATGAGGCCAGCAACAGCCTGATTGAACAGGCAGCTGACAGGGTACACAATAGTCGCCACTGGTCAAAGATACACGACTTGTATGTTGTGAAATAAGTTGTGATAATAATTGTACTTTATAAATGGCCGGAACACAACGGAATTAATTAAATTACCCAATTGTTAATTGAATATCAATATGACTGCAATGGTTCGGTGTTTAATTAGTGGATCGTATTCAGTGTAAACAGAGAAATTGTCGTGAATTATCAGGGAATTATTAAAAGAAAAATATCATTTTAACTTGTTTGTAGTAATAATCACAGTGTATTCACCAATTTGCGCTTGCAGGGGTCGGGTTATAGCTCCTTGCCTCCCGGCTCGGTCACTGACCCACTGGGAGTCACTAACCCACTGGTAGTCACTGACCCGGCTAGTACAGGGAGAATTTGCATACAGTGAGCTGATGGTTTTATAATTAAAGCAGTTGTAATTTATCTGGTTAATTACCCCCTGGAGATAATTTTGCCTCTGCTAGTGGGGGGATAATAGGTCGGTAGCGAGACTTGGAGGTGGAAGGTCGGTAGCGAGACTTGGAGGTGGAAGGTCGGTAGCGAGACTTGGAGGTGAGACCCTTCCGAGGGTTTGTGGTTGTGGAAAAAGTATAGTCCCACAGGAATGACTGGAGAAGACGTGTAGGCTGGGAGGTAGTGAGGGTAGCAGAGGGTGAAGAGACAGGAACATCAACGGTGTGTAAAGCACGGAGTACGAACCTCTGACCTTCGACAAGATAGCAGACAGTCTAGACCCGGCCACGACAGCAGGTATCGGAATATCAGAGACGAGAATGTCGCCGAGGTTGTACACTGAAGTGGTCGTGTTAGAGAACACCACAACACGCTGAGGCAGCCTCCCAACTTTCTCCACATGGATTCCCGTGCAAATATTTCTTGTAAACATAGCATGGTCACTGTCCCATTGTACGACCCCACACTCTTTAACTTTCCAAAAGCGAATTTTGCTTTCGCGATGGAAAACTTGGCACCAGCCAGGATTTGCGAGGTGTGTTTGTCTAGAGTTAAGGTAAGAAAGAGGATAGTGACAGCTTGTATCATTAGCGTCAGCTGCGCAGCAGATTGAACAATCTCCGTCGTACCTACAAAGTTTTTGCTGGCCAAAGCGCCAAAATTTTCAGTATTGCTCAGGTGTTGCTTTGAGCATTGACCTACGATGAAGACCGAGGATGTAACGTCACGACAGTTAAAAGTTAGTTTCGCACTATTACTTGGGAATCATCTCCGTCCACTGGCAAGACTAACACCATTTTCCACTTTGATGTTAGTGAAGCCGAAACTATTCCTGATTATCCAGAGCGCATTCTGTAAATTCTTGAATTTTAGTGCGAGGGAGGATAATATCCCACAGCTAGAATTTAAGATGATTGTCACTGTATTGTGACGGATACATGGATACGTGATTTCTTGGTAGCCTGCTCAGCATTCACGATGGAAACAAGCATTCCACTCTCGAGAAAAAGACAGTAGTGTCTTCGGTGTTTAAACAATACCGAGCGGAGGCTGTGACATGTTTCGTGTGAGAGAAGCGTCCAGGGACCTACATACCAGAGTCAGTATCTCTTTCTTTAAAAAACATTTCTTTAATTTCACGGTAATATAATTTCGCTCTGACTTCACTTCTGCTGGGAACTTCCGTACTCACACCTTGTGAAGACTTACTCAGTCCTGTAACAACTTCAGTCAGTATTACCAAGGCTGGCTCCTCCTCAGGAAAATTAATGAATAGAAAAAGAAATAATAATTCACAAAGATAAACACTTTATTATTTAATAATGCAAAGATAAAACATTAAAAAATGAAGGTGTGTCCTATTTGAAAGAAAAATGAAAAATGAAATGAAAAAATGACATTACAATTCAACGCTAATATATACAGTTATACTGGGGTGTCTGGTGGAGGTTGACACCGTCTTGTAGAAATTGTAGCCGTTGATGATGATGGGGGGGGGGTCACAGGTGTTGGTGACAAAGTCTATAGTCTTGAATAGTCTGTCCAGATGATAGGAACGCAGGTTCTTTACCACTGCAAAGATGAGGGGTTGTTGTCTGCTGTCGCCTACAGTTAATCAGGTAGGTAGATTATAAAGTGACGTCCCAAGACCGGTTTCAGTCCGTCTCTTTCAACACTTCTCGTTGGTTGGCAGGTGACCCGATCTGTCATTCCAAGCTGGAAAGAGAGACAGGTTACCCACTGCTTAAGAAATCACTCTCCATAAGTGCAAGATACTTAAAAAAAGATGGTGATTATCGAAAAGTCTCATGTGGAGCTTAAAACTGAAAGGACAAATTTTATTATTGGCAAAAGGAAGCTTTCAACCAATATCCACTAGAATGGGAGAAGGCTTTTACTTACTTTGGCTGGAGCTGTGAGTCGAGTGTTACTTTTTTGGCCGGAGCCCCACATCCCCTTTTGGGGGTGGGGGAAAGGAGGGGGGAAAGGGGGATAGCGGGAGCTAATGACCCTCCCTTTAAAAAAGCCCCGGCAATCAAACTATCGTTACCATATACTCGCTCGCTACTCCATTGTTGAACTTTTCCCTCCACACCTCACCTCCACGGGGAGCCCCCCCTGCCACATTTCACTCTGCGGGGAACTCCCCTGCTACACCTCCCCTGCTGGGAACTCCCCCGCTCACAACCTCACCTCTGCGGAAACCCCCCTGCTACTTTTATCTCTGCGGGGAACTCCCCTCCACACCTACCTCTGCTGGGAATCCCCTAAAACACACCCACCTCTGTGGAACTCCCCTGTCACCTTCCCCCTCTGCGGGGAACCCCCCCTGCTCACACTTCACTCTACTGGGAACCCCCCTGCTCACACCTCCCCTCTGCGGGGGATTCCCCTAAACAACTTCACCCCTGCGGGGAACTCCCCTGCCACATTTCTCTCTGCGGGGAAATCCCCTCTCACACTGCATCTCTCTGGGAACTCCCCTGCTCACACCCCCCCTCTGCGGGGAACCCCCCTGCTTGCCCCCTTCCCCCTCTGCGGGAACCCCCCTGATCACTCCTCATTCTGCGGGAATCTCCTGCTCAAACCTCACCTCTGCTGAGAACCCCCCCTGCTCACACCTCACCTTTTTGGGAACCCCCCGCTCACACCTCACCTCTCGGGAAAGCTCTCCTGCTCACAATTCATCTCGCGGGGAACTCCCCTCTCACCCCCCCCTCTAGGGGGAACCCCACGTCACACCTCCCCTCGCTGGGACTCCCCTCCACATTCACTCTGCGGGAACCCCCCTGCCAACCTACCTTGGGGGGAACTCCCCTGATCACACCTCACCTCTTGGGACTCCCCTGCTCACAATGAAATTCTGCTGGGAGTACCCCCTACACTTCACCTCTGCTGGAAACTCCCCTGCTCACAATTCATCTCTGCTGGGAACTCCCCTGCTCACACCTCCCCTCTGCTGGGAACTCCCCTGATCACACCTCACCTCTGATGGGAACTCCCCTGATCACACCTCACCTCTGCTGGGAACTCCCCTGCTCACACCTCCCCTCTGCTGGGAACTCCCCTGATCACACCTCCCCTCTGCTGGGAACTCCCCTGCTCACACCTCACCCTCGAACTGTATACATAGTCGTCCTCTTATATCACTTATATACACTTGTTAAAGCTTACTCAACACCTGTGTCTTGTCTTCAGGTTACATTTTCACACACAAATGACAAGACGGTAGCGTCTCCTGGATCATAGCTGTCTTCTACCTGGTGATTGCATCCCTCACACTCTTACAACAGGAAGGTAGCGTCTCTTGGATCGTAGCTGTCTTCTACCTGGTGATTGCATCCCTCACACTCTTACAACAGGAAGGTAGCGTCTCCTAAATCGTAGCTGTCTTCCACCTGGTGATTGCATCCCTCACACTCTTACAACAGGAAGGTAGCGTCTAGTGGATCGTAGCTGTCTTCCACCTGGTGATTGCATCCCTCACACTCTTACAACAGGAAGGTAGCGTCTAGTGGGTCGTAGCTGTCTTCTACCTGGTGATTGCATCCCTCACACTCTTACAACAGGAAGGTAGCGTCTAGTGGATCGTAGCTGTCTTCTACCTGGTGATTGCACCCCTCACACTCTTACAACAGGACGGTAACGCCTCCATGAATGGGTTTCTCTCTTACCAAACAACTACCTTCAACTCACACAAGGAATATACTGCGTCTGGACTCAAGGATTGACTGCAATATTCTTGTAATTGAAAGTCGCTTGATAAAAGAAGCAATAAATTGTTTAGTAAGTTTACGAGTTCGTAAAATAAGTGTGAGGGGCTGGAGTAAGGAGGCCGTAAAGAGTCTCGCCTCTCCAGAGAGCAATGGTGGTGGAGGCTGGGTAATATGATAGAGAACAATAAAGATTTAGTACAGTTAGGAGACCTATGATAGGGTTAATATAGGACCCTGGGGAAAATAAACACTTAAGAATCTAGTCACGGGTGCCAGTAGAGTGGAATAATATAGTTAAAAAAAAAGGAGATAGAGTGGAAGGGATAAGGCACTGTACGTGTGGGGTTTTACCATTCATTTGCCATGGGTTCTAACCTCACCCGTACCCTGGTTTACAAGTAACTTGTTTTACGTGATTTTGAAAAAGGTGTTGATAGTTTGAGGAATAAAGACAAGTTAAAGTAGGGACAGGTGGGGAAGATTGTGGTTATTACGACAGTAATAACTAAAAAGACAAAATCTGAAAAATTAAATAAAAAACGTGGATTTAATGAGCAGATATGTGGAAGGGAAAATAAATACGTGAAATAGATTTTGGACACGACGACAAATTTATAAAAACATATTTATTATTGCATGCAGTGTTCTGATTGAAACTTGTCCAGATTAGTGGGATAATATACCACTCTCTTGAAGGAACGGACAGTGTTAAGCATGACCTGTGGGATTCACACACACACACACACACACATACACACACACACACACACACACACACACACACACACACACACACACACACACACACACACACACACACACACACACACACACACACACATACACACATACACACACACACACACACACACACAGTGTGACAGGGATGGCAAAATATTGTTAGAGCAGCGGGGTGCCCAGAAACAGGGCATTGATCCCAATGATTCGGGGAACTGAAGTGTGTTGTAACAGTCTTGGTGAAGGTGTGGAGGGAGGTGAGAGTGTGTGTGATGGTGATGTGATGGTGATGGTGATGTGATGGTGATGGTGATGTGATTGTGATGTGATGGTGATGGTGATGTGATTGTGATGTGATGGTGATGTGATGATGATGATGATGTGATGGTGATGTGATGGTGATGTGATGGTGATGTGATGGTTATGGCGATGTGATGGTGATGTGATGGTGATGTGAATCTTAGCTCCTGGCCCCGCTTCTCAACTTGCCGCTTACCAGATGCACTCCGCTCTTCGCCACATAGTCCCTATCGTACCTGATCTTAAAACTATGTGCTGAGTCTGCCTCCACCACTTCGCCAAGTTTACTCCGCTACCTGACCACACTGGGCCTGAAAAAAATACTTCCTGACATCCCTGTGACTCATCTGTGTCTTAGACGCCCAGCTGTTTCCTTGAGTGCCCGTTTCTCACCTCTCAGACAGCCTGTCCTTCTCCTCTGAGTATTTTGTATGTTTTTATTGTGTCTCCCCTGGTTCTTCAGCCGTCCATCATCTTAGGTTCACTTCCATTAACTTCCGCCTCGTTACTCATAGCCTTGACCTCTGCACCGAGGTATACACCACTCAGTGTATGAGATCATGAATGTAAGGTGACCTGGTCAAGTCTTGTTAGTTGACCTGGTCAGGTCTTGTTAGTTGACCTGGTCAAGTCTTGTTAGTTGACCTGGTCAGGTCTTGTTAGTTGACCTGGTCAAGTCTTGTTAGTTGACCTGGTCAGGTCTTGTTAGTTGACCTGGTCAGGTCTTGTTAGTTGACCTGGTCAGGTCTTGTTAGTTGACCTGGTCAAGTCTTGTTAGTTGGCCTGGTCAAGTCTTGTGAGTTGACCTGGTCAAGTCTTGTGGGTTGACCTGGTCAAGTCTTGTGAGTTGACCTGGTAAAGTGTTGTGAGCTGACCTTCAAGGAACCTACCTTCAGTCACGTTAACTAATCATGTGCTGATTGCTAGGTGCTCATTAGCTCACTATTTCTCGAGTTTCCTCTTAATTGGATCACATTCTCACACAAACTCAAGCAAACTCACAGTTGATTACCTGGTATTGGTGATGCTGGCGCCTGGAAACATTATTATTAGTAGTAGTAATGGTAGTAGTAATAATAGTATTATTAATAATATAGTGGTAGTAGTAGTAATAGTAATAATAGTAATAATAGTAGTCATAGTAATTGTAGTAGTAATAGCAGTAGAAGCAGTAGTAATAGCAATAGTAGTAGGAGTAGTAATAGTAGTAATACTAATAGTAGTAATAGCAGTAGTAGTAGTAGTAATAACAGTAGTAGTAATAGCAGTAGTAACAGTAGTAATAGTAATAGTAGTAGTAGTATTGTTGTGTTATATTTCACTTGAAATATACAAGCTCCAGAAAGACACTGGTATAAACAAAACTGGTAGTGAAGTTGAAGATCATTATCGCTCGTAAACTCTACGGAGTTGGCCACTCACATTTCACTTAACTCATCACTTGAGACGCCATTATTATTATTTATACAAACTATATTTCACACGATCTACAATTTTACACCAAAAACAAACAATTAGTTTTACGGAGTGTTTCAATTTTAATTCCCAAAACGTGAATATTGAAAGGCTCAACTGAGTCATAAAAATTGTGCAAAAAAAATATTTCTTTTAATGTTTTGTGATTCTGTGAATGTTATGTGCAACTCGCAATTTTTATTATTTTCCAAATAATGAAGTGGATTATAAATTAAAGTCATGGTTATCGTTGGCAGGAACCTGGCGAACAATAAGATCCGTGAACTTGACGATTTCTGCTTCAGCATCTTCACCTCTCTACACACACTGTGAGTAGTGTGTGTGTGTGTGTGTGTGTGTGTGTGTGTGTGTGTGTGTGTGTGTGTGTGTGTGTGTGTGTGTGTGTGTGTGTGTGTGTGTATGTATGCGTTCGCGTGTGTGATAGATATATATAGAGATAGATACATATATGAAGATATAGACAAAATGATATACATTCAGAATGCGATGTTCTCACAAAAGAAAGTTTGAGAGTGGTACCTTCTCACGCTACCATCGTGTTCTTCACCTGTGTTGTTCCTTGCAGAACACTCACTGGCAACAACATAGGGACGATATCCCCCCGAGCATTCAACAGAGTTCCCTTGGAGGTGCTGTGAGTATACCAGCTCTGTTGTGCTGTAAGAAACTCCATTGGTGGAGTAATTGATGTAAGAGTCACTGTAGGTTCTACTGTAGAAAATACTGTGTCACTGTAGGTTCTACTGTAGTAAATACTGTAAGTGTCACTGTAGGTTCTACTGTAGAAAATACTGTGTCACTGTAGGTTCTACTGTAGTAAATACTGTAAGTGTCACTGTAGGTTCTACTGTAGTAAATACTGTAAGAGTCACTGTAGGTTCTACTGTAGAAAATACTGTAAGTGTCACTGTAGGTTCTACTGTAGAAAATACTGTAAGTGTCACTGTAGGTTCTACTGTAGTAAATACTGCAAGTGTCACTGTAGGTTCTACTGTAGTAAATACTGTAAGTGTCACTGTAGGTTCTACTGTAGTAAATACTGTAAGTGTCACTGTAGGTTCTACTGTAGTAAATATTGTAAGTGTCACTGTAGGTTCTACTGTAGTAAATACTGTAAGTGTCACTGTAGGTTCTACTGTAGTAAATACTGTAAGAGTCACTGTAGGTTCTACTGTAGTAAATACTGTAAGAGTCACTGTAGGTTCTACTGTAGAAAATACTGTAAGTGTCACTGTAGGTTCTACTGTAGTAAATACTGTAAGTGTCACTGTAGGTTCTACTGTAGAAAATACTGTGTCACTGTAGGTTCTACTGTAGTAAATACTGTAAGTGTCACTGTAGGTTCTACTGTAGAAAATACTGTGTCACTGTAGGTTCTACTGTAGTAAATACTGTAAGAGTCACTGTAGGTTCTACTGTAGTAAATACTGTAAGTGTCACTGTAGGTTCTACTGTAGAAAATACTGTGTCACTGTAGGTTCTACTGTAGTAAATACTGTAAGTGTCACTGTAGGTTCTACTTTAGAAAATACTGTGTCACTGTAGGTTCTACTGTAGTAAATACTGTAAGAGTCACTGTAGGTTCTACTGTAGTAAATACTGTAAGTGTCACTGTAGGTTCTACTGTAGTAAATACTGTAAGAGTCACTGTAGGTTCTACTGTAGTAAATACTGTAAGTCACTGTAGGTTCTACTGTAGTAAATACTGTAAGAGTCACTGTAGGTTCTACTGTAGTAAATACTGTAAGAGTCACTGTAGGTTCTACTGTAGTAAATACTGTAAGAGTCATTGTAGGATCTACTGTAGTAATAAGAGTAAATACTGTAAGAGTCATTGTAGGTAGCTGCTACTGTAGGAAATACAGTAGCAGCTACAGTAGCAAGAACTGTAAGTCACTTTAAGTGCTATTGTACTAATTACTTCACAAATGCACAGATTTATTTTTGTAATTTTGTTGGTCTTATATATTCACTAACACTGAAGACGGGACAAAGATTTCCACGAAAACGACCGAAAACACCTCCGATTCCGTTTGATTTTGTGATTTATTTTCAACCGTGCCTGTTATTTCTTTCAAGGACTCTTGATCCGAGGAACTGGAGGTAATTTATATCAAACTTGATTGCCCAAGCCGCTGTATGACCCCTACGGTTTAAGCGCTTCCCAGTGAATACTGTAATAATAATAGTAATTATTATAATAATAACCAATAATAATAATAACGATGATGATGATGATGATAATAATAATAATAATAATAATAATAATAATAATAATAATAATAATAATAAAATAATAATAATAATAATAATATAATAATAATAATAATAATAATAACAATAACAATAACAATAATAATATAACTAGAACAGCCGTAATTTTATGATGATGTTCAGTTGATAGCTTTAGCATGGGGCCCTTTCGGATTTAGAGCTTTTCCTCATGAAAATACTTATTAAACCAATCGTTCTTTTGTGTTGCAGGATGATGAACGACAACAACCTGTCGCCCCTTATGAATATATCATCTATACCAGTCGTTTTGTGTTGCAGGATGATGATCGACAAACCTGTCATCCCTTATGACTGTATCATTCACACCAGTCGTTCTTTTGTGTTGCAGGATGATGGACGACAAGAACCTGTCGTCTCTTATGAATATATCATCTATACCAGTCGTTTTGTGTGTTGCAGGATGATGGACGATAACAACCTGTCGTCCCTATCACCAGGAACACTTCCCGGCCAGCTTAAGATCATCTCCCTGGAGATGAACTTCTTCACGAACTTCCCAGCCTCCCTGGCCTCCCTCAGAGGCCTACAAAATGTGTAGGCCACCTTTGTGTTTTCCTTTACGATCTATTTTTTTAATGCAGCATGTTTCGTTATTGTATTCTTGGGGATCTGTTTTAACTGCAATGACTTCCTGAGATCATTGATTGTATTACTGAGTATCTATTCTGAGTGCAATAGATTTTTGTGAGTCATTGAGTCTCTGATAGATGAATAATAGATTGAGATGTCACAAGTAAAGATGAAAATTAACAGGTTACAGAACAAGCTTCAACTGGGTCAACATTTTTGCTCTGTGTAGAGTTTTGTCATGACCTTGATACAGCTCTACACAGAGCCAAATGTTGTCTCAATAAGAAGCTTATTTTGTATCCTGTGTCTTTTGTTACAATAGCTGTCTCGAGCACGTTTCTGTCGTGCTGAGAGGCTAATATTTTTTTGTTTCTTAAGCACCAACAAACACACGAACTGAAGGTTAACAAATAGACCACTTTTCGACCCGTTTTGGGCAATTATGACGACAGGACTTGATGATGGTCCGGGTGCTAAACGTCGCCTAGTTTTGTCTTCAGTTAATGTGTGTTTATCGTGAATTGTTTCAGCAGCAAAGTTGTTGTCACTTATTAATCTCTTCTAAGAGGTCCCTATAAAGTTTTTTTTTATATTTGATATTCAGATTTTAGTAATATGTTACAGTTATGTTAATGCAAGCTATTAAATTTCTTCCCCTTTCACTTAACAAGCTTTATATATATATATAATATATATTATATATATATATTATATATATATATATATATATATATATATATATATATATTATATATATATATATATATATATATATATATATATATATAATATATATTATATATATTATATATATATATATATATATATATATATATATATATATAATATTATATATATATATATATATATATATTATATATATATATATATGTGTATTTATATATATTATAATATATAATGATATATATTATATATGTATATATATTATTATATATATATATATATATATATCTTGTGTGTGTGTGTGTTGTGTGTGTGTGTGTGTGTAGTGTTGAGAGAGAGAGAGAGAGAGTAAGCTCTTCCTATCATTGGGCTTAATTTGTTGTTTCCCTATTATCAAGCCTTTCTTATCATCCCTCTTTTATCCAGCCTCTGTTAACATGTATCTTTTATCATGCCTTTACGACCTAAAAGTGGTTATATCCACAGAAACCTGGGATACAACAAGATCGCTGTCCTGAAAAACGCTGACCTCCACGGCCTACATAACCTCCTCTTCCTGTAAGTACTACACCAATTATTCACATATTTAAAGCGAAAACTGAGCCACATTTCGCGTTCTTAGAATATTATCATGTTGCTGATTCATAATACTTCAAAACCAACCAGTATGTTGTCTGATGAATTGATTCAGCCACGTTATTGTGATTTTTATTTATCTAGGAATTGTTATTTTTTGAGTACCATTGTTTGGTACGCATGGTCGACAGGTTTGTGAGGTTTGAAGGCTATCCACTATACTAGGTTCATTAAGACTACACATCGCTAGTCATGGATATTATATTCCTGTATATAAGGATTAAAGTAGACTCTCAGGGTATATACACTGGGAAATATACATCCCTCGGTGTGTATAACTGGCAGATAGGGAATATATTTAATCGTTTCACATAGTTTCAAATGATTAATATACATTTACAAGTAATCAAGAAATAATAATTAATAGAACAAGTACGAAATGCAACATTATAGAAGTTAAACCTATAAAGCAGATTTGGTAAAATTGGAACGTTGCTATTTAGATTAGCTGACGTCTTAAATGGATTGTTTTGGGGGATTTGGGAATGAATTAGTAGATCTAATGAAGTTTTTTTTGTGGTTTAGAACAGTGGTCCTGGATCTAATGCAGAATTTTCTGACCAAGATGACTCATTTTTTATGGGTTATGTTTTCTTAGTGGCAAAGACAGTGGTGTTAGAGAAATCACTGTGTAATGCTCACCACTGGAAGTAACTCACCACGCAGTGGTCACCACTACTTTTTTTGTGTAAAGGTCACCACTAAACGTTAATCATCACTGGTCACTATCATAAGTTTTTTTCCATCAGATCTCTTCAAAACAACAGACTCTCAACTATCGAACCCCGAGCCTTGGCCAGACTACGTAACCTGGAGACTCTGTAAGTAACATATAATGTTTGTAATTTAGCTACATGATATATATATATATAATAATATATATTATATATATATATATATATATATATAATATATATATATATAATATATATATATATATATTATATATATATATATATATATATTATATATATATATATATATATATATATATATATATATATATATATATATATATATATATATATATATATATAATATATATATATATATATATATTATATATATATAATATATATATATATATATATATATATATATATATATATATATATATATATATATATATATATATATATATCGCAGCAATGGTTTTAAGTAGGAAAAAATCAAATTCAGGAAAGATATAGGATGAGTGGAACAAACTCCCAAGTACCGTTATAGAAGCTAAAACGTTGTGTAGTTTGAAAAATAGGCTAGATAAATATATGAGTGGGTGTGAGTTGAACCTGACTAGCTTGTGCTAATAGGTCTGATAAGATTGAGGTTAGTTATATTTATTGGAGGAGTCAATTTCACCATTACAAAGTCAGCAAGGAAGTGTACAATGAAGGTATTCTATTTAGAGTGAGAGAGATTACATTGTATAATAATGACAAATGAAGTGTGAAGAGTGGACACACATGGAATTTACGATGACGACGGATGTAGTGTTGGGTATGGATCATTGTAACGCGCGATAATGACACATACAGTGTGTAAAGTTGGGGGAGGATTTGAGTGCATGATGAAGGGCAACTTACCTTGTCTTACTCTGTCTTCTCAGTAATCTGAAGAACAACTTGCTGACGGAGGTGCCTACCTCAGTGACACACTGCGTCAACCTGCGACAACTGTAAGTGCTTAACATAAATACTTCAGTTACCCCATTAAAAAAACAAAGATGAACGTAACTACGTCAGTCACTCTCATCTAAGAGTACTGACCATAACTACATCTGTAGAGAGGAGACCTTTACACGAAATCACACACAAACTGACGCTGCTACCTTGTAAATAACTGGAATTAGAGCACGTACCCAGATACATTTAACACTGGTGGTTTTGCTGCAGGTTCCTGGGTGGTAACAGACTGACGTACGTGGGTGAGAATGCTCTCAGGGGATTGACTAGACTCGAGGAAGTGAAACTACAAGCCAACCCACTGCTGAACATACATCACAGAGCCTTCTCCAACCTCCCAGCCCTCACCAGCCTGTATGTGATTCACGAATATGCTCCTATATTCACCTTCCCTGCAATACACATGCATATATCGCCTAATGTTTTTATCTAAAATTACATTTCCGTAAAAAATATTAAATTACTGATGCGAATCTGGAATTTCAAAACTTCTATTATACCATATCAGTTGTTATTTTAGTATCTGAAATAACTGATGTTTAGAATTCCCAAACAGCCCGAACGTAGGAGAGGAAAATGTAGAAGAAGCTTCGGTCTCTTCTGGACCATTATGAAGTCACAATTCCTTCATGATGATGGTTCATGAGGGACCGAAATGTTTTCTAAATTTTCACCTCTTAAGTAGAGGTGAAAATTGTTCTGGCCATAGCTATGTGATTTACAATTCTCGTGTTCTTTACATTATTCTCATTGACACATTGTTTATCTCACAAGAATATTTTGTAATCAATAAATCATATTCTCTTTACTTCAGGGAATTTTATTAGAAAGCAACGCTTTCCTTTTATTGATTTTTTGTATAAATTAAAGTGTTTTTCACTACAATATATAAACACTGATTTACTGTCAATAAAAGCAATACGTTTTCGTTTTATCCTAAAATAAATTGATAAAAATCTGTATTGCTGTTGAGTTGTTAATTAATAAGAAATTATCTCCCACTTTGTAATAACAAGCACTTATCCCACTTTGTAATAACAAGCACTTATTCACTTCTGCTATACAAGCATCCACTTGATACGCACTACTCATTTTATAAAAGCACTTATTCATTTCGTAATAAACAAACTTATCTACTTGTAATAACGAATTGGCACTATCTCCAAACTTTTTATACACTGCGTTTTTCCTTTAGTATCTGAATAACGATGTTTAGATCTCCATGATACAGCACTCGAGTGAAGTGAAATAAGCAAAGCAACTTACGGTCCTTCTTAACTACAGCCCTCACCATTATTGATTCACAATTGCCTTATTCCACTTTGAATAACATGCATTACCCCAAGTTGTATTAAAATTATTCACTTTGTAAAAAAGTAATATACTTGATCGACTGATTTCACTTTGTATACAATATCTCAGTTTTATAAAATTATTCCATTGAATAACATGTTTATCTCCACAACAAGCACTATATTATTATGAATAATACAAGACTTCTCCTTTGTACATTCAGGTAATTTCATTTGTAATAGACAAACCTTTCTCTTTTTCACTTATATTTGTTCGCCTACTATGTAATTACAAGTCACGTTTCTCATTTTTCCATTACACCATTTTATACAACACTATTACTTTGTAATAAAAGCATATTCCTTTTAACTAAATTATTATTGATAAAAGCAACTGTATTCCTTTGATTAATTAGATTTTATTGTAATAAAAGTTTATCTCCCACTTTGTAATAACATATCACTTTGTCAATAAAAGCACTTTCGTATCCTATATAATAAAGCTTATCTCCCACTTTGTAATAACAAGCACTTATCTCCCACTTTGTAATAACAAGCACTTATCTCCCACTTTGTAATAACAAGCACTTATCTCCCACTTTGTAATAACAAGCACTTATCTCCCACTTTGTAATAACAAGCACTTATCTCCCACTTTGTAATAACAAGCACTTATCTCCCACTTTGTAATAACAAGCACTTATCTCCCACTTTGTAATAACAAGCACTTATCTCCCACTTTGTAATAACAAGCACTTATCTCCCACTTTGTAATAACAAGCACTTATCTCCCACTTTGTAATAACAAGCACTTATCTCCCACTTTGTAATAACAAGCACTTATCTCCCACTTTGTAATAACAAGCACTTATCTCCCACTTTGTAATAACAAGCACTTATCTCCCACTTTGTAATAACAAGCACTTATCTCCCACTTTGTAATAACAAGCACTTATCTCCCACTTTGTAATAACAAGCACTTATCTCCCACTTTGTAATAACAAGCACTTATCTCCCACTTAATCCTTTGATAATAACAAGCACTTATCTCCCACTTTGTAATAACAAGCACTTATCTCCCACTTTGTAATAACAAGCACTTATCTCCCACTTTGTAATAACAAGCACTTATCTCCCACTTTGTAATAACAAGCACTTATCTCCCACTTTGTAATAACAAGCACTTATCTCCCACTTTGTAATAACAAGCACTTATCTCCCACTTTGTAATAACAAGCACTTATCTCCCACTTTGTAATAACAAGCACTTATCTCCCACTTTGTAATAACAAGCACTTATCTCCCACTTTGTAATAACAAGCACTTATCTCCCACTTTGTAATAACAAGCACTTATCTCCACTTTGTAATAACAAGCACTTATCTCCCACTTTGTAATAACAAGCACTTATCTCCCACTTTGTAATAACAAGCACTTATCTCCCACTTTGTAATAACAAGCACTTATCTCCCACTTTGTAATACATAAGCACTTATCTCCCACTTTGTAATAACAAGCACTTATCTCCCACTTTGTAATAACAAGCACTTATCTCCCACTTTGTAATAACAAGCACTTATCTCCACTTTGTAATAACAAGCACTTATCTCCCACTTTGTAATAACAAGCACTTATCTCCCACTTTGTAATAACAAGCACTTATCTCCCACTTTGTAATAACAAGCACTTATCTCCCACTTTGTAATAACAAGCACTTATCTCCCACTTTGTAATAACAAGCACTTATCTCCCACTTTGTAATAACAAGCACTTATCTCCCACTTTGTAATAACAAGCACTTATCTCCCACTTTGTAATAACAAGCACTTATCTCCCACTTTGTAATAACAAGCACTTATCTCCCACTTTGTAATAACAAGCACTTATCTCCCACTTTGTAATAACAAGCACTTATCTCCCACTTTGTAATAACAAGCACTTATCTCCCACTTTGTAATAACAAGCCTTATCTCCCACTTTGTAATAACAAGCACTTATCTCCCACTTTGTAATAACAAGCACTTATCTCCCACTTTGTAATAACAAGCACTTATCTGCCACTTTGTAATAACAATCACTTATCTCCCACTTTGTAATAACAAGCACTTATCTCCCACTTTGTAATAACAAGCACTTATCTCCCACTTTGTAATAACAAGCACTTATCTCCCACTTTGTAATAACAGCACTTATCTCCCATTTGTAATAACAAGCACTTATCTCCACTTTGTAATAACAAGCTCTTATCTCCCACTTTGTAATAACAAGCACTTATCTCCCACTTTGTAATAACAAGCACTTATCTCCCACGTTGTAATAACAAGCACTTATCTCCCACTTTGTAATAACAAGCACTTATCTCCCACTTTGTAATAACAAGCTCTTATCTCCCACTTTGTAATAACAAGCACTTATCTCCCACTTTGTAATAACAAGCACTTATCTCCCACTTTGTAATAACAAGCACTCATCTTCCACTTTGAGCCAACAAGCACTTATCTCCCACTTTGTAATAACAAGCACTTATCTCCCACTTTGTAATAACAAGCACTTATCTCCCACTTTGTAATAACAAGCGCTTATCTCCCACTTTGCAATAACAAGCACTTATCTCCCACTTTGTAATAACAAGCACTTATCTCCCACTCTATAATAACAAGCACTCATCTTCCACTTTGAGCCAACAAGCACTTATCTCCCACTTTGTAATAACAAGCACTTATCTCCCACTTTGCAATAACAAGCACTTATCTCCCACTTTGTAATAACAAGCACTTATCTCCCACCAGCATCCTGAAGGAGGTGAGGCTGCTGGACACCTTCCCTGACCTGAACGACACGTTCAGCCTCAAATGGCTGAGGATCGACCGTGCATCTCTCTCCTCCGTTCCTCACGACCTGTGTACGGCCACGCCCAAATTATACAGCCTGTAAGCACCCTCCATACGGGTTTAGCGCTTCTCCGATCCCTCTTAAAGATCAATTAATACTGAGCTTCCATCCTCCCGTGTCTCGGAGTCCAGGGCCGATTTTTACCTCTCGCTCTACAGATGGTGTACGATCCATGTGGGTTTAGAGCTTCCCTGTGATGAGTAATGGTAACGGGAAAGTGCAGAGGGAAGGGCAGAAACGGGAAGGAAGAACTGTGAAAGACGAGAATAACAGAGTAAGGTACAGAGACGTTGAAATAGTGTAGAGAAGAGAAAGCTTGATGCGAGATGGTATTATTATTATTATTATTATTATTATTATTATTATTATTATTATTATTATTATTATTATTATTATTATTATTATTATTATTACTACTTTATTATTATTTTTATTATTATTATTATTATTATTATTATTATTATTATTATTATTATTATTTTATTTATTACTATTATTATTGCTATTATAAAAATAATTATTGCTATTATTTTATTTATTATTATAAATAGTATTATTATTATTATTATTATTATTATTATTATTATTATTATTATTATTATTATTATTATATCATTATTATTATTATCATTATTATTAGTAGTAAACAATGAAGGACGTTAAGCTCTGGCCTGGAGATATATTTACATACATACTGAAAGTGTACATTTACTATTCAGTAAAATGTAGAACTTGGCATTGCTCTCAGCTCATTCATTTGATTATTTTTATATTCAAACTTACATCATCAACAACATTTAAACACCAGTGTATGATGTTGTACCTCATGCAACACGGTCGGCTGTTTAAAGGACAGAGAGAGGTGTTATTCTCTAGAGAATCAACGCCATGATCTATCGGCCGAGGATATGAACACCTGGAGAAGGTTCTGGGGGTCAACGCCCCCGCTTCCCGGTTTGTGACCAGGCCTGTGTAAATATATGAAATATTAGAGAGTTGTGACTATGTTTTGTGTTTCAGGAACCTTCAGAGGAACCAGATCAGTACCATGCCAGACCTCACCCGCTGTCAACAGCTCCGTCTACTGTAAGGATATTACTTTTGTATATACTTTAAACTCTCTCAATATACAAGCAGTAGTGAACAGTGGGATGAGGGAAAGAGGAATGGAGATTTTAGGAGGGCAAAGCAGAGAGTTGGTCATGTACTATAAGTCATTTCTTTTCCTCCACCGTCTTTGTCATTTCCTGCACTTCCTGCTTCTACACTCGGCAGACATCCTGCCCAGCGACCAGAAATACAGAGTCTCTGGTGTATAGTATTATTGAGGCCTGCGGTATAGTCTTAGCATCACCTGTGCCACAGGCCGCAATAATACTATTCACCAGAGCATCTGTATTTCTGGTCGCTGAACAGGATGTCTGCCGAGTGCAGAGGCAGGTAGTGCAGGAAATAACGAAGACAGTGGAGGAAAAGAAGCATATATTCCCATGTTTACAAAAAAGAGACAATCAATGGAAGACTCTAGTGACCACATCGACAGTATCTGCTAAGGTCTAACTGCACTCTATCTATCTTTAATTCTGTCTAATTAGAACAATACATCAGACAGTCATATTAGATGCTTTATGAGTAAGACATTTTCTTCGTTTATTACCTTAGATTTGCTTAAATTGGCGCTGCTTATAAACACCTACAAGTTTTGTTGCATATTTAACAATAATTGCAACATTGACCTAATCTATAAAGTGAAAAATTTTCAAATATTTTTCATGTGTCAGGTCACACATAAGTTAATAAAACTTGCAATATTTATCTAAACACATTGGTTAGGTGTAACATTCTGTGTAATTACAGATTACATGTAAGTTTTTTACAACGTCGTCCGACCGCTGCAGGGAACTGATCAACAATCAATATCATCAGCCTTCTAGGCAAGCTTATTTAGTCAACATCTGAGCCTTCATTAAGACCTCTCATAGTCATGAGGACTAACTTATCTACAACATCTCACAACACTATTACATTCTATGGTCTCAAAAGTCTTCAGGTCTTGTAAGTTAAACCTTCATCTGTTTGACCCTAACTATTAAGAGCAGGCTCTCATATTACACTGAAGCTTGACCATGATTATTAAGAACAGGCTCTCATATTACACTGAAGTTTGACCCTAACTATTAAGAGCAGGCTCTCATATTACACTGAAGTTTGACCCTGATTATTAAGAGCAGGCTCTCATATAACACTGAAGCTTGACCATGATTATTAAGAACAAGTTCTCATATTACACAGGCAACTGGAGGACAACCTCATCACTAGTATCAACAAAGACGCGTTCGTACACCTTCATGGCCTCGAGGATATGTGAGTTATAATTCAACACTGTCATAGAGCTGATATAACACAGTATAGAGCAATTATAGTACTGTTGAATTAGTGTAATTCTATTCTATTATATAAAATAAAGCTTTTACTCTCTTAGAGTAATATTAATTAATAAAATATAACACTAGATATAACTAGTAGAACACTATATGCTAAATAATGTAGAATTGTAATATTACTAATAATAATACTTAAAAAGTAATAATAATGGTAATAATCATCTAATTTTTTTTTTTTTTTTTTATATTTTTTTTTTTTTATTTTTATTTATTATTTTATTTTTATATTATTTTTTTGTTATTTCCTTTCTCTCAGTAACCTTGGTAACAACAGCTTCCCTGAGTTACCTGCCAGAGGCCTGCAGAGTGTAGTCTCCATCAAGGTTCACAACAACCGCCATCTCAGAGTCTTTCATGGCCCAGAGAGCTTCCCCAAGATTAGATCTCTCACCCTTTCCTACGCCTACCACTGCTGTCCCTTCCTCAGGTACATACACTCCACCCTCTCCTACTGGTTGGGCTGTGACTCTTTAAAAGATACGTAAGTAGCCCTGTCATCTAATACCATGTTCAATTTCCCACTATAATCTACCTCGTCCATAATTACTATCGCATTTCCTTTGTCTGTTTCGTAAAGTGAAGTCCAGGATCTTTCCTGAATTCGTTATATAACTTAACAAATCTTTAAGAACGATTGTGTGTTCCAGAGGTCTGAGTGAAGCTCAGACCTCTGGAACACACAAAGCAAAACAGACAAAGCAAATGTGGTAGTAATTATGGACAAGGGAACTCATGTGCCCCTTAAGCATTTTGCCTGTAAGAGGGATTAAAGCGAGGTTATACTTTTGAGGTGTTGGGGGGATGGGTTTACTTCTTTTACATCAAATTTATATAAAAGTGAAGTTTTCTCTTTGTTCCTTTTAGCACCTCATTTAGTATGTGATACATTATCCGTGGCTTCATCTGATATGTTCACAGGTTTCAGTACCACACGGAGTCGACGACCATCAATGAGAGTGTGTTCTTCGACGTGAAGGACCTCCAGGGCCTCGACCCAACCATCTGGAATGTGTCGAGCGTGTGGCCAGACATTGGTGAGTCTCGCCAAACACATTTTTATATCACACAAACCAACCCAAGTAGAGACAATATAGCATCACTTAAAATGACTACTACATATTTAGGCATTAGAATGAGGCCCTCGTCAGCAGTAGTGTCATGGCTCTTGTGTCTAGCAAAATAGTTGGAGCTACCCCCTCTCTTGTCGGATCAAATCTGAGAAAATCTCATCCCTTCCCAGGGGATGCATAACCCTTATGGGTTCTGCACTTTCCCATGAATATAATAACAATATATGAATAATCTTGCAAGCAATTTGTTGAAGAGAGCCTCAATCTGTGGAAGAAATTTACGTTATTTTTCTTATATAATATTTTTAGCGCTAGTCCTTATTAGTGTAACAATACTTTTGCCTTATCGTTCTTTGTGGGTTAGTATGTGACAACGACTCATGTTAACTCAGTCTCGCTGACTCGAATTAATCTGCTGAAAACTCCAGACTGCTAATTTGTCATTAATTATGCATTCATAAGTCATTTTTTTCCATGACACTTGATCTGCAAAAGCTGGGCTGAGGCCTCGGGCTTGTAAGTAGTAATTGTTGTTTTTTCCTTTTCTGTCTTGCTTTTGGGTTGGTTGTAGCAGGCTTGAACACAAACTTTGCGGCCATTTGGGCTAACTTGGCTGCTGAATTCCCTGCAGCCAACACTGACCTGACCACTGCTGCCTCTGGGGACCTCACTACCACCTCCACCACCACCACTACCCCGCCCCTACCCAGCCACCAGGTCATCTGCTCCCCCGAGCCAGGTCAGTATTGTCAGCTGGTGTTAGTAGAGTCATGTGTGTCTTGGCTTGCGTCCGTCCTGGATCGTTATCAAGTGAATTTAGCTATTATTTATATTATTATTATATACTGAACTAGCTTTTTTTATTATAGCACACATGGGGTTTAGTGTAAGGAAACTTTAGATCTGCTGGAAGTACTCCAGAACTGCATAAAGTACTCCAGATTTTCGGGAGCATCAACTGCATAAAGTACTCCAGATTTTCTGGAAGTACTCCAAATCTGCTGGAAACACTCCAGATCTGCTGGAAGTAATCCAGATCTGCTGAAAGTACTCCAGATCAGCTGAAAGCACTCCAGATCTGCTGGAAATACTCCAGACCCCATGGAAGTACTCCAGACCCCATGGAAGTACCCCAGATCCGCTGGAAGTATGCAAGCTAATTAATAAAATTACTCTTCTTACGTTATTGTTATAATGTGGATGTTGGCAGGCCCCTTCATGCCGTGTGAAGACCTCTTCGACTGGTGGACACTACGGTGTGGGGTGTGGATAGTGTTCCTGCTGGCACTCTTGGGTAACGGCACCGTGGTGGTGGTGTTGGTCTTCGCCAGAGCCAAGATGGACGTGCCTAGGTTCCTGGTCACCAACCTCGCCTTCGCTGACTTCTTCATGGGCCTCTACCTCGGTGAGCAGAAGAGCACAGTTGGTGATTCAAAGATAAATAAAAATGTCTCATGGAAACAGAGATATTTTTATTGTTAGACGTACACAATGTTTCGTTCAAATATGAACTCTCTCAAGACTTAAAGAAGTTCACAACTAGTGAACGCAATATTGTGTTATAGCTTCTTGTGGGCTGTTGTCACGATTTCAACAATTCATAATTATTTTAAACAGGGAGAATCTTTGTTTCATGATGTTTTGCCCACAGTGGGCAAAACGTAAAGTGCAAGTTTTGCCTGTCTTTCAAATACCACTTACCGACTTGACATTGTGTGTCTACAAAATAGTGCAATAAAGACTGGTTAACAGCACAAACGAACAGAGCCAAGAGCTGTAACTCGACCCCTGCAACTGCATATAGGTGAATGCACACATACACACACAATTCAACACTGAAAGGACTCACAGTCTGAACTCTTTCGCGACACATGAATCACATCCTCCAGAGAGGACACATGTTGAAGAACAATCTTAGAGACAGTAATTTAACAAAGCTCTACATAGAGCAAAACAATGTCCCAATATACGCTTGTACTGTAACTTGTGTCTTTTCTTCATTATTGTCTGATAAATATTTTCTAGAGAATGCAATAGCTCCTTGATTCTCTTTCAGAGAGGTTAACAGTGTGTATCAAGATCCCACTTAATTCTTGTGATCTTGATGTATCAGTTAAAATAAACTTAGTCTGTTGAAGATAATTTAAATCTAAGGCCGAAATAACGAAATTAAATGATAAATAAATCACTATTAACTAGGAGAGAGGCAGTATTATCCTGCTGGGATTTAGCCATAGAGACAATGTGACTGGCTACAGTATTTTTAAATATGGGCTTTTTTCATCATGTAAAACGCAGTTTAATTGTTGTCTTATTTTCTTTCTGTGAGTTTGTGTCATAGTAGTGGCTAGAACAATTCAGAAATTATTAACATGATAGAAGAATAATATGACATTTTTGGTTTGTCATAGTTGAAACCTGGGTTCTTTCCTCGCCTCCCAAAATCCTGACCTGATTCACGAAATCGTAATGACACGATTGCAAACAAACCATACCACGGACGGGGATAGAACCCGCGATCAGAGAGTCTCAAAACTCCAGACTCTGATCGCAGGTTCTATCCCCGTCCGTGGTATGATTTTTTTTTCCTGATCTGATTTTTAGGTTTCTCCCCATTTTTTTCCCTCTCACTCACGACTTGATAATAGTTCAGGAAGAACCGAAACATCATTCTGTTTTTCTTCCCAGTTTATAGGTTAGTTTTGCAATTCACTTGATGATGTTGATCCACATAATGGACAAGATTTCCTCTTGTTCGAAATCTCTGTTAACTTGGAGACTGTATGTGCATTTTCACATATATTATTACTGAGTCCAACACTGAAAACGTCAAAGAAATTTTAAAAAATATTAGAGATAAGAAGCCAGATAAATTATCGATATATGAAATCATTACTAATTAATTTGGTATGATTAAAAATTACATTTTTAATTACTTTCACGATTGTCCTTAATCTAGGTGGAAGTAGACAGTTGTTTTCAGCAAACAGCTTTGGTGTGCATTTCCAAGTCTTCTGTTATATTGTATTTTCAGCTACTTATAAAAGTAATGATTAATAGAAATTCTTGTCTTTGTCTTCAGGGTTTCTAGCAGTGGTGGACGCCTCCACGCTAGGAGAGTTCCGTATGTACGCCATCCCGTGGCAGACGTCAGTTGGGTGTAAAGTGGCTGGCTTCCTAGGAGTAATGAGCTGTGAGCTATCTGTCTACACGCTCACTGTCATTACAATGGAGCGTAACTACGCTATTACTCATGCCATGCACCTCAACAAGCGTCTGTCTCTACGCCACGCTGCGTATATCATGGTACTGGGCTGGATCTTTGCCTGTACCATGGCTCTCCTGCCTCTCATTGGTGTTTCAGATTACCGCAAGTTTGCCGTCTGTCTGCCCATTGAGACCAAAGGTGCCGGACTGGGTTATGTTGTGTTTCTTATGTTCATAAACGGCATTGCCTTTCTTATCCTGATGGGTTGTTACCTCAAGATTTACTGTGCCATACGAGGGTCACAAGCATGGAACAGCAACGACTCGCGAATAGCTAAGAGAATGGCTCTCCTGGTGTTCACAGACTTTATATGCTGGGCTCCCATTGCCTTTTTTTCTCTAACTGCCGCTTTTGGACTACAGTTAATATCTCTAAAGGAGGCCAAAGTGTTCACTGTTTTCATACTGCCATTTAATTCCTGTTGTAATCCATTTTTATATGCTCTCTTAACCAAACAATTTAAAAAAGACTGTGTAATGTTATGCAAAACTATTGAAGAGTCGCGTGTAACGCGGGGGATCGGAAGGTGCCGACATTCATCAAATTTTAGTAATCGCCAGACTCCTGCCAGCACCAACAGTGCTCTGGACAATACCTCACGTCAGGATAACCAATCTTGTCGCTGCCAGAGCAAGACACAAGAACCTCAGAAGCTCCACCAACGGCTACGTATATCGGCACTTAAGTATCTCTTCTGCCACAAAGAAAATGAAGAGCTCAGTTCAGCGAGTGATTTTAGCTATCAGCCAACCAAAAGTGCTGTCAAGTCGAAGAGACATGCATCTGTTTCAAGCGAAACTTATAGCTCTTCCTGGTCAGATACTTGGCGTCGAGGTCAAGCAGCCATGTCACTGCGAATACTTGACCGCAGGCGCCGCAACTCGTGGTACCTGACTCGTAAGCCCTCGCAGGAGAGTAACTTGTCATCATCTCGTAATGACTCGTCGGCCACCACTGCCTCAACATCAACGTGGCGAATATCTCGGTCCTCAGTGTCATCTGATATCTCCAGCAGTGGTTCAAGAGGTGTGGGTAAAACTGACGCAGCTCCAACATTGAGGTTGGGATCTCTGAGAGAGCGTCGAGGAGAGTGCCATACGCAGGTGCCACCTCGGCAAGTTGCTAACCATCACCAGGCGCTGTTGGTGAGGCAGCAGTCTGGCGCATCCGGACAAAATTCAGCACCAACCACATTAGCAGTTCGCATTAAGCCCCGTTTGCATAGACAAACTGCTATTGAACGTGAAACTTATATACCCAATAAGGCAGCAGCAGCAGCAGCAGCAGCAGCAGGGGCCCAAGCAAAAGTACCCTGTCCTCTACATCAACATTCTGACAACCTCTCCTGTGTGTACGAACAAGAGAGTTACGAAGAAGACGAAAAGGAAGTCTCTAGGGAATGTTTAAACCCTTGCTATCCAATGGCAGAGTTGACTGTTACTTTCATTCCACGTAAACTGAGTACTATTTCCTCTCATTCAATCAGCGTAGTTAGAGAGGCAGATGGGGATGAGTCTCCATCTGGTCCCTGTGTGGACGTACATACATCCAGTCATCCTTCACCCACTCTCACGCGTGACTTTCCAGGAAGAGGAAAATGTGTGAGCTTAACCTTACTGCCCCAGACTTCACAGACAAGTCCCTCACGTTTTCCCTCTGATGGTCACTTACCTCGCTCACCCAGGTGCACAGAAGTTTTCTATTTCACAAAGTTAGCAACTCCTGCTCTTATAATCCCTCAAAAACATGAGCACACAGCTAACACCCCATCCAAAGATTTTGATGCAGCTCATGTAGATCACTATGGACAAGCTATCATTAGCATTCAGGACGAGAGCCATGAGCCAGAGGAATGCATGGAGTCTACAGCCCTGATGGCTGAAGATTGTGATGGGGACGACGATGTGTTTGAAGAGGAGAAAAGTCGCCCCAGACCCTTAGAAACACACTTTCCTCTCGATGATCCTCCAGGTGAAACGCTCCCTCTTATATGATAACAATTTGTCCTTTTGTACAAAAAAAATGGAAATGCATTCAGGTATAAATGCGAACTTTTGACCAAGGGAGCGAGGTTTGAATCTTAAAAACGTCAAATGCCTGCCACTTTAAAGCTTCCGAATATTTATTTCATATTTCCTGTTAAGATCAGCATGCTGTGAACACACTACCTACAACTTCATAATTATCTGTTCTATGTAAAGTGTCATTACAATTGCCAACATTTTCTCCAAATGTCCGACCCTCGATCTTCTTCTTTTGTAGCTCTTTAGCCATTGTTACAAAGTTACCAACGATGGATTCGTGCCTCTGTACCTGCTCTGAACACTGGGAACTACAGTGATCTTAGACTGTCTGGGCATAGTGTCTCAAAAGCACAAAGTGTGATGTCGAGTCATGTTATTACTTTGGCTCTGGGACCAGACTCACATTTTTCTCCTTCTATAGAATTATTTATGGTGCTCTCTGATGACTTTAAGAACACAGATGTATGGTGTTAGTCTGGCTATTTTATATCACTGATTATCTTCAGATACGTAGACAATGTGACTGACTGTGACAATAACAGTCAGCTGCAGCTGAGACAATAACAATCATCTGCAGCTGAACACCTGACAGATGACTGTCGTTTCAGCTCTGTTTATCAAAATATAATATCCGTGGGGGAAATTTTAAAAAAAAATTATTTTACACGAAAGAGAATGAGCTGTTCACTGTTATAAAAATTTCAGCAAAGGGAAAAAACATTGAACTTCATGACAGTGAAGCATATTATTAAAATAATTTTAGTAGCATGCATAAAATAACTTTTTCTGGTGAATTTGAAAATCAATTTGTGTCGGGGATAAACAAAAAAAGAACACTGGCCAAGGTATTTTCAAAGCATAAACTAAATTCTGTTCTACTTAAAGTGAGAATTATGAGTCCTGCTGGTGGAAGCTGATGTAATTCACACGTTCTCAAACAAAATGTACATTTTCCCATGATTAATAGAACGTGCTAAAGGCCGCGTACAGAGATAAAGGAAATATTTTTTTTATCTTTGATGATTTTTATTTTGTACTGTTGCGTCGAGCCAGTTGCTGTTACACATAGAGATAATATTCTTCCTGGTCATACATTGTTAGTTTAAGGGAGAAGTTAGATTAGAGTAACTGAAGTTAAAGGTCATATACTGAAAGGATGGGCTAGTAATAGTTAAGAAGGTTGTGGAGATATCCTCTGAACCAAGATTCCATGACGTAGAAGGGTCTGACAAGTTTCGCCGTGGCGAAACGTCTTCAGTAAAGACACCCATATGTTAAACATGTGTCTAATTCTTCATCTTGTCGGTACTGTATACCATACATTTACAACTTGACAGACACAGCACCATCATGGAATCTTGGTTCAGACGACGTCTCCACAACCTTCTTAATAAACTACTACTGACCCGTCCTTTGGGTATGACCTGCCTCCACTGGGAGAATCCTGACTACCAGTAAAAAAACGTAAACTAACCCATGCGAGGTAGATATATCACGATGACAGAGGCTGGGCAACACAACCAAGAAATGCGATCACAGAACGTAGTGGTATAAACCTTGGTAATAAATACCGACAAGTTGGTTTAGAAAGACACGTAAGCAAACACTATGACATATTTATTAGAAAACGTTTCGGTTCTGGGACCTTGATCACTTCTAAGTGATCAAGGTCCCAGGACCGAAACGTTTTCTAATAAATATGTCATAGTGTTTAATTACGTGTCTTTCTAAACAGAACGTAGTAAAACGTTACCTTCACTTGCCATACGTGAGTTTTGTTACGTTTGAAAGACGGTATAAAGCCTAGTTTTTCATGTGAAGAGTTACTAAATAAACTACAAAGAAAATTATTAACCAATATTTATTAATTTATTGAAGTACGACACGATATTAATCATTTGTTCAGTGAATAAGTGGTATAATACAGTATAGTGAACATTACACTGTTATATTCTGCAACGAAATAATTTTAATTAAATAAATAGCCAAGTGTGTTCATGACTCAGATAAAGAAATTCAACTGTATAACACAACTAAACAAAGAAAGAATTGAGGTGAAAATTTCTCTCTTAAAACCTATCATTACCTAAACTTAGACAATGATATACAAGTAGGGAGTTTGGTCCTCAAATCTTTCATCTCTACACAACCCACACATAGGAGAGAGAGAGAAAGGCATATGACGACGTTTCGGCCCGATTTGGACCATTTACAAATCACACTGTGACTTGTAAATGGTCCAAGTCAGACCGAAACATCGTCATAAACCTTTCTGTCTCTCCTCTTATGTACGGGTTATTTGTGTTGTTGGTCCACTCACAGTATTGTGACTTCTCTTTTTTTCACGTCTAGTTTTTTTCCCAAAAGATGTCAAATTAACAGCTAATGATGGGATATACCAGGATGTATTATGAAAGCTTAAATACACGCTGTCAATAAGGTTTAAAATCAACCTTCTACACAAGGGTTATTAAGCTGTATGTAACCTGTACACCACCTGCCAAGAATACTTCAGTATTTACCATAGGTATTAAATGCAAAAAATCGCAAAGAAGCGATGCAGGATGCAAAACAACTACGGGTGAGTTGAAAGATCGTTCTAGGCCTTTCGTGTTGCAATCAACACATCATCAGGAGTTTGCAAAGTTGCAGAAAAGGAGGATGTCCGAGCTAATATGATCCCAGTTAATACATCCTCTGGGATCGTATTAGCTCGGACATCCTCCTTTTTCTAGCAACTTTGCAAGCTTCTGATGATGTAGTGATTGCAACACGAAAGGCCTAGACCTATCACTCTACTCCCTCGCTGTTGTTTTGCATCCTGTATCCCTTGGTTAGCGATATCTGCATATAATATATTATATATATATATATATATATATATATATATATATATATATATATATATATATATATAATATATATATATATATATATATATATATACATATATATATATATATAATATATATATATATATATATATATATATATATATTATATATATATATATATATATATATATTATATATATATGTTCATGGGGAAACAGGAAAAAAATTTATATTAATGTTCCTTTGTATTACCGCTTGTAACAATGTTCTTTCATCGTAAAATCTTGAAAAAGTTTGATGTTCCTGTGTGGATATGACGGAGGAAGTGTGAAGTTCTTAAGAATGAAGAACGTGTGGAAGAATGAAGAACGTGTGGAAGAATGAAGAACGTGTGGAAGAATGAAGAACGTGTGGAAGAATGAAGAACGTGTGGAAGAATGAAGAACGTGTGGAAGAATGAAGAACGTGTGGAAGAATGAAGAACGTGTGGAAGAATGAAGAACGTGTGGAAGAATGAAGAACGTGTGGAAGAATGAAGAACGTGTGAACGTTAAGTAAAAATGTTTTTAGAAGTGTGGCAGACATTTCATCAGTCATGTATATTACAGTATCTCCAGTACCAGTACTGACGACTATCTCCAGTACCAGTACTGACGACTATCTCCAGTACCAGTACTGACGACTGTCTCCAGTACCAGTACTGGAGACTATCTCCAGTACCAGTACTGACGACTGTCTCCAGTACCAGTACTGACGACTGTCTCCAGTACCAGTACTGACTACTGTCTCCAGTACCAGTACTGACGACTGTCTCCAGTACCAGTACTGACGACTGTCTCCAGTACCAGTACTGACGACTGTCTCCAGTACCAGTACTGACGACTATCTCCAGTACCAGTACTGACGACTGTCTCCAGTACCAGTACTGACGACTATCTCCAGTACCAGTACTGACGACTGTCTCCAGTACCAGTACTGACGACTATCTCCAGTACCAGTACTGACGACTGTCTCCAGTACCAGTACTGACGACTATCTCCAGTACCAGTACTGACGACTGTCTCCAGTACCATACTGACGACTATCTCCAGTACCAGTACTGACGACTGTCCTCCAGTACCAGTACTGACGACTATCTCCAGTACCAGTACTGACTACTATCTCCAGTACCAGTACTGACTACTATCTCCAGTACCAGTACTGACGACTATCTCCAGTACCAGTACTGACGACTGTCTCCAGTACCAGTACTGACGACTGTCTCCAGTACCAGTACTGACGACTATCTCCAGTACCAGTACTGACTACTATCTCCAGTACCAGTACTGACTACTGTCTCCAGTACCAGTACTGACTACTATCTCCAGTACCAGTACTGACTACTATCTCCAGTACCAGTACTGACTACTATCTCCAGTACCAGTACTGACTACTATCTCCAGTACCAGTACTGACTACTATCTCCAGTACCAGTACTGACTACTATCTCCAGTACCAGTACTGACTACTATCTCCAGTACCAGTACTGACGACTGTCTCCAGTACCAGTACTGACTACTATCTCCAGTACCAGTACTGACTACTATCTCCAGTACCAGTACTGACTACTATCTCCAGTACCAGTACTGACGACTGTCTCCAGTACCAGTACTGACTACTATCTCCAGTAACCAGTACATGACTACTATCTCCAGTACCAGTACTGACTACTATCTCCAGCACCAGTACTGACTACTATCTCCAGTACCAGTACTGACTACTATCTCCAGTACCAGTACTGACTACTATCTCCAGTACCAGTACTGACTACTATCTCCAGCACCAGTACTGACTACTATCTCCAGTACCAGTACTGACTACTATCTCCAGTACCAGTACTGACGACTGTCTCCAGTACCAGTACTGACGACTATCTCCAGTACCAGTACTGACGACTGTCTCCAGTACCAGTACTGACTACTATCTCCAGTACCAGTACTGACGACTATCTCCAGTACCAGTACTGACTACTATCTCCAGTACCAGTACTGACTACTATCTCCAGCACCAGTACTGACTACTATCTCCATACCAGTACTGACTACTATCTCCAGTACCAGTACTGACTACTATCTCCAGTACCAGTACTGACTACTATCTCCAGTACCAGTACTGACTACTATCTCCAGTACCAGTACTGACGACTATTTCCAGTACCAGTACTGACGACTATCTCCAGTACCAGTACTGACGACTATCTCCAGTACCAGTGCTGACGACTATCTCCAGTACCAGTACTGACGACTATCTCCAGTACCAGTACTGACGACTATCTCCAGTACCAGTACTGACGAATATCTCCAGCACCAGTACTGACGACTATCTCCAGTACCAGTACTGACTACTATCTCCAGTACCAGTTACTGTCGACTATCTCCAGTACCAGTACTGACTACTATCTCCAGTACGAGTACTGACGAATATCTCCAGCACCAGTACTGACGACTATCTCCAGTACCAGTACTGACGACTGTCTCCAGTACCAGTACTGTCGACTATCTCCAGTACCAGTACTGACTACTATCTCCAGTACCAGTACTGACGACTATCTCCAGTACCAGTACTGACGACTATCTCCAGTACCAGTACTGACGACTATCTCCAGTACCAGTACTGACGACTGTCTCCAGTAGCAGTACTGACGACTATCTCCAGTACCAGTGTTGACGTCTATCTCCAGTACCAGTGTTGACGACTATCTCCAGTACCAGTACTGACGACTATCTCCAGTACCAGTACTGACGACTATCTCCAGTACCAGTGCTGACGACTATCTCTAGTACCAGTACTGACGACTATCTCCAGTACCAGTACTGACGACTGTCTCCAGTACCAGTGCTGACGACTATCTCTAGTACCAGTACTGACGACTATCTCCAGTACCAGTACTGACGACTATCTCCAGTACCAGTACTGACGACTATCTCCAGTACCAGTACTGACGACTGTCTCCAGTACCAGTGCTGACGACTATCTCCAGTACCAGTACTGACGACTATCTCCAGTACCATTACTGACGACTGTCTCCAGATACCAGTGCTGACGACTATCTCCAGTAACCAGTGCTGACGACTATCTCCAGTACCAGTACTGACGACTATCTCCAGTACCAGTACTGACGACTATCTCCAGTACCAGTACTGACGACTATCTCCAGTACCAGTACTGACGACTATCTCCAGTACCAGTACTGACGACTATCTCCAGTACCAGTACTGACGACTATCTCCAGCACCAGTACTGACGACTATCTCCAGCACCAGTACTGACTACTATCTCCAGTACCAGTACTGTCGACTATCTCCAGTACCAGTACTGACGACTATCTCTAGTACCAGTACTGACGACTATCTCCAGTACCAGTACTGACGACTATCTCCCAGTACCAGTACTGACGACTATCTCCAGTACCAGTGCTGACGACTATCTCCAGTACCAGTACTGACGACTATCTCCAGTACCAGTGCTGACGACTATCTCCAGCACCAGTACTGACGACTATCTCCAGTACCAGTACTGACGACTATCTCCAGTACCAGTACTGACGACTATCTCCCGCACCAGTACTGACGACTATCTCCAGTACCAGTACTGACGACTATCTCCAGTACCAGTACTGACGACTATCTCCAGTACCAGTACTGACGACTATCTCCAGTACCAGTGCTGACGACTATCTCCAGCACCAGTACTGACGACTATCTCCAGTACCAGTGCTGACGACTATTCTCCAGTACCAGTACTGACGACTAT